TCCAATCCTGATGCCATGTTCTTCTTCATATAGTCCAGCTTCTTGGATTATTTGCTGAGCATATAGATTGAATAAGTATGGGGAAAGGATACAACCCTGATGCACTCCCTTCTTGATTTTAAATCATGCAGTGTCCCCTTGTTCTGGTCTTGTACAGGTTCCTCATGAGTACAATTAAGTATTCTGGAATTCCCATTCTTCTCAATGTTACCCATAATTTGTTATTATCCACACAATCAAATGTTTTTGCATAGTCAATAAAAGACAAGTAAACATCTTTCTGGTATTCTTTGCTTTGAGCCAAGATCCATCTGACATCAGCAATGATATCCCTCATTCCATGTCCTCTTCTGAATCCAGCTTGCATTTCTGGAAGTTCGCTGTCAGTATATTGCTGCAACCATTTTTTAATTATCTTCAGTAAGATTTTACTTGCATGTGGTATCAGTGATACTGTTCGATAATTTCCACATTCTGTAGCATCACCTTTCTTTGGAATGGGTACAAATATGGATCTCTTCCAGTCAGTTGGGCAGGTAGCTGTCTTCCAAATCTTTTGGCATAACTGAGTGAGTGCCTCCAGGGAGGCATCCATTTGTTGAAACATCTCAATGGGTGTTTTGTCAATTCTTGGTGGCTTGTGCTTCAACACTTCCTTCAGTGCGGTTTCCACTTCTTCCTTCAGTACCATTAGTTCTTGATCATATGCCACCTCCTGAAATGGATGAAGATCGACCATGTCTTTTTGGTACAATGACTCTGTGTAGTCCTTCCATCTTCTTTTAATACTTCCTGCATCATTCAATATTTTGCCCATAGAATCTTTCACTATTGTGTGTTCTTCCCTTTTGGTTTTCTAACTCCAAGTCTTTGCACATTTCACTATAATAATTGACTTTGTATTCTTGAGCTGCTCTTTGAAATCTTCTGTTCAGCTCTTTTATCTTGTTATTTCTTCCATTTCCTTTAGCTACTCTTTGCTCAAGGGCAATTTTCAGAGTCTCTTCTGACATCCATTTTGGTCTTTCCTTCTTTTCTTGTCTTTTTAATGACCTTTTGCTTTCTTCATGGATGATGTTCTCGATGTCATTCCACAATTCTTCTGGTTTTCGATCACTGATGTTCAATGCATCAAATCTATTCTTTAGATGGTCTCTAAATTCAGGAAGGATATATTCAAGGTCATATATTTCAGCCCTCGTGTACTTGTTTTAATTGTCTTCATTTCCAAGTTGAACTTGCATATGAGCAGTTGGTGGTCTGTTCCACAATCAGCTCCTGTATTTGTTTTGGCTAAAGATATTGAGCTTTTCCATCACCTCTTGCCACAGATGTAGTCAATCTGATTCCTGTGTACTCCATCTGGTGAAGTCCATGTGTATAGCTGCCGTTTGTGTTGCTGAAAAAAGGTATTTGCAATGAATAAGTTGTTGGTCTTGCAGAATTCTATCATGTGATCTCCAGTGTTATTTCTGTCACCAAGACCAAATTTTCCAACTACCAGTGATTCTTCTTTGTTTCCCACTTTTGCATTCCAGTCACCAGTGATAATTAACACATCTTTATTGCATGGTTGGTCAATTTCAGACTACAGAAATTGATAAAATTTTTCAATTTCTTCATCTTTGGCTTTGGTGGTTGGTGCGTAAATTTGAATAATAGTAGTATTAAGTGGTCTTCCTTGTAGGCGTATGGATATTATCCTATCACTGACAGCATTGTACTTCAGGACAAATCTTGAAACATCCTTTGTGATGGTGAATGCCATACCATTCTTTCTCAAATTGTCATTCCCGGCATAGTAGATCATATGGTTGTCTGATTCAGAATGGCCAAAACCGGTCCATTTCAGCTCACTAATGCTTAGGATATAAATCTTTATGCGTTCCATTTCATTTTTGACAACTACCAATTTTCCTGGATTCATACTTCGTACATTGCATGTTCGATTATTAATGGATGTTTTGCAGCTGTTTGTCCTCAGTTTGAGTCATGCCACGTCAGCAAATGAAGGTCCCGAAAGCTTTACTTTATCCATATCATTAAGGTTGGTTCTACTCTGATGATGCAGCTCTTTCCCACTCGTATTTTGAGTGCCTTCCAACCTAAGGGGCTGGTCTTCCTGAACTGTATTGGACAGTTTTTCAGGTCTATTTATAAAGTTGTCCAGGAATGTATCAGACATTGTTTCTCTGCTATTCATAAGGTTTTCCCTGGCCAATTCTTTGAGAAGTGGATGGCCTCTTCCTTCTCTCTAGTCTATCTCAGTCTGTAAGCTGTGTTGAAATCTGTGCACCATGTGCAACCCTGCTGACATTAGAGACACCAGTAGCACAGCCTTAAGCTTCACAGCAATATGCAAACTGACAGACAAGTTTGCCTCCCTTAGCTGTTCCAAACCTCTCTACCCTCCCCTTACCTGGATCCCAAGGCTCTGTCATCCCTGGCTTTTCCTCCATCTTCCTGCCTGTTGAGTGTGGGACCTGTCTGTCTCCCCTTACCTGGGTTCCCATAGCTCTGGCTCTTCCCTGGCTCTTGCCCTGCTTCCCATGTCTGGGTGTTGGGCCTGTCTGCCTCCCCTTACCTGGATCCCTCAGTTCTGTCTCCTCCCGGCTCCTGCCCCACTTCCCATGTCTGGCTCCACGTGTATAGTCATCACTTATGTTGTTGAAAAAAGGTATTTGCAATGACTAAGTCTTTGGTCTTGCAAAATTCTATCATGCGATCTCCAGTGTTATTTCTATCACCAAGGCCATGTTTTCCAGCTACCAGTAACTCTTCTTTGTTTCCAGCTTTTGCATTCCAGTCACCAGTGATGAACAACATATCTTGATTGCATGTTCAGTCAATTTCAGACTGCAGAAGTTGGTAGAAATCTTCAATTTCCTCATCTTTGGCTTTGGTGGTTGGTGCATAGATTTGAATAATAGTAGTATTAACTGGTCTCCTTGTAGGTGTATGGGTATTATCCTATCACAGACAGTGTTGTACTTTAGGACAGATCTTGAAACAGTCTTTGTGATGATGAATGCCACATCATTCCTCTTTAATTTGTCATTCCCAGCATAGTAGATCATATGGTCGTCTGATTCAGAATGTCCAAAACCAGTCCATTTCAGCTCACTAATGACTAGGATATCGATATTTATGTGTTCCATTTCATTTTTGACAACTTCCAATTTTCCTAGATTCATACTTCTTACATTCCATGTTCTGATTATTAATAGATATTTGCATCTATTTCTACTCATTTGGAGTCGTGCCACATCAGCCAATGAAGGTCCCAAAAGCTTTACTCTATCCATATCATTAAGGTCATCTCTACTCTGAGGAGTCAGCTCTTCCCCAGTCAAATTTTGAGTGCCTTCTGACCTGATGGGCTCATCTTCCAGCACTATATCGGACCATGATTCAGAGCTATTCATGAAGTTTTCTAGTGATAGATCAGACAGTGTTTCACTGCTGTTTATAAGGTTTTCACTGGCCAATTGTTTGAGAAGTAGATGGCCTCTTCCTTGTTCCGAGTCTGTCTTAGCCCAGAAGCTCCACTGAAATGTGTCCACCATAGGTATCCCTGCTGGCATTTTGCAACACCAGTGGCATAGCCTCCAGCCTCATAGCAACACGTAAGCCACTACAAGACAACAAAGTAACAGACAAGTTCATCTCCCTTAGTTATTCCTAACCCTTCTGCACCTGCCTACCTCGGGTCCCAGCCTTAAAACAGAGCCGCCCCCAAGCGAAAAGCAGCCACCCAACCCCACACCCCAATACAAATATGTATGTAGAAATATCCTCTGCCAAACCTGTATATGGTTGTATGGTACTTCCTCCCATTTGCCTGGCACACCTGTTCAGCTTGTGAGTCCACTCATAGATTATTGTTTGTTACTACTGATATTGCAGGACTGTGTATAATCATATTTTCCTTTGTTGTGTGACTCCTGTGCACCTCTCCTTGTCTTCCTTTGCCTTAGTGATATTGTGTTGATCACCCCCTTAGTAAATAGTTTTCCTTCACTCAGATTAATACGTGTCTATTATCTAGTTAGTGACTTTACCCCACCCCATCCTTGGTAACCATCAAAGAATGTTTCTTTCTGTGTACAAACTTACTCTTGGCTTTTTGTAATAGTAGTCTCATACAATATTTGTCCTTTTGTGATTGACTTACTTCACAGATTCTAAGTTATGTTGTGATTTCTTAACATCATTGAAAATGTCTTTTCATTAAAATACAAGAAATAAATAGTTTCATCTTACTTTAAACAAGCTTTATAAAAGTGCTGAGTAGAAGAACTAGATGGTGCCTGGCTACCACTATCAACCACTTAGAGGGGGATCTGTGTAGGAAATTCTGGATAGAGTGGGAGAACAATGTGGAACAAAACTCAAAAGTATTTAAAAAAAAAAAAGATCAGGTTTGCTTGTCTGATAGAGCCTGGTAGAACCTCTGAGACTATGGCCCCTAGCCTGTATCTGCCCTTCAGGTCTGGAAATGAACTCACTCCTATAGCTTCCAGCCAAATAAAAGATGCATATGGGGTGAACATTTACATCAGGTAGGTACACTCCTTGGAGAGATAATTCATGGGAGAACAGAAGGGCTGAGTATGTACAGGGAGATTGCTATGGGGGCAAGAATACATGGGAGGGAAGGACACAGGGAAGAGCTAAGTGTGAGGAGGAAGTGGGAAGAGAGCTGTTATGTTGTGGGAAATTACAGTCAATGTCATGAGGCAGCGTATATGAACTGCTGTATGGAAAATGAATTTGCTCTGTTAACTTTCACCCAAATCACAATGAAAATTTGGAAAAAAATAAGTTCTGAGTAGATGGAAAAGTTATTCCAAGACATTCCTTTATCATAATAAAGCAGTCAGTTTTTACTACTGAAAATCTCTATTCTCTTTCACAATTTGCTATGTTTTGCATTATTTCTGCTTTCATATGTATTTTTTGAAACAAAATAAGCATATATTCCTCTTATTGCATCCCAGGCACCTAGCTGTTTAACACATAGTACGGAAGAAAAAATAACACCTTCACCGTCACAAGAGTACGGCTTGACGTGGGATGACATTAAAGATGGCATTCGTCAGCATTCCTCACCGAGGTAAGCGTAAGCGACACACGGGGAATGTGTCAAATGGCTTTATCTAATCTCCTGTAAACAGGCACATAGTGTTTGCAGCATAATAGTATCTTAATTATATGCTGTCATATTGTATTGTGTTGTTACACAATTCAGTGGCATTGTTAATTTTACTAAGGAAATTTACTAAGTAGGTGCTCAATATCATTTTAAGGGAATTAATTATGATAATTCATTAATAAAGGAAAAAGGGACTAACTTGTATTATTCACCATCATGATTTGTAGAAAAAAGGATTTCCATCCTGGACAAGTCCCCTGGGACTGATGCTAACCAGCTTACATGGCACACAGAGCACTGAAGAACTGACTGAGGATCATAATTTGTGGGTTTGAATTTACCATATGCTAGTGCTTCACCTAGGCACTCTGGTGGCGTAGCGCCTAAGGCATTGGACTGCTAACCGGAAGGCTGGAGGTTCAAAACCCCCAGCCACTCTTCAGAAGGAATATAGAGCAGTCTTCTTCCATAGAGATACTGCCTCGGAAACCCAAGGCGAGGTCACTATTAGTCAAATCAACTTGATGGCAATGAGTTTGTTTTTTTTGGAGTGCTTCATCTAAGGAACTCTGGTGATGTAGTGGGTAAGACATTTGGCTGCTAACCAGAAGATCAGCAGTTCAAACCCACCAGCTGCTTCTCAGGAAGAGGATGAGGCAGTCTACTTCTGTAAAGATTTACAGCCTTGGAAACCCAATGGTGGTCACTATGAGTCAGAATCCACTGAATGGTAGTGGGTTTGGTTTTTTAGTGCTTCATCTTTCTATGCTATATGGAGGAACTTGTTTAATACTTATGAAATACTCCCCTAAACAAAAAGGAGAGATTAGCAGGTGGTAGAACCTGAAACATGCCTTTAATAGTTCCATCTATCAGAATGCATTTCAAGTGGCAGGGATTGAATATGAGATGAAGAGCGGCAGCAAGGAAGAACAGGGGACTGAGAAGTGATCAAGACCAAGGTGTGACATAGCAGCCCAGAAGGCCAGTACCCATAACCCCTCAGGGCATGACAGCATCGGGCTAGTAATCCTGGCACATGTAGTCTGTCAGGGTGGGACGGCCTTGGCTCTGCTCCTCTCTCAGACCTTCCCTGAGGAACCCTCACCTGCTCACCTCCCTGGCAATGAATATAGAGAATGGCCTGAAAAAGGAATGTTGGTCTCTTCGGTAATTTCTGTCTCAAAGAAGTGCAGATAGTCCCCCATTTATGACATGGTTAAGAGGACCCACACGTAGGACTGTCTGCTGCTGTTTTATTGGTTTTTGTTTTGTTGTGCATCTTATTGTTAATAATATGTATTACACACAGCGTTGCAGCATGTGATTTGCTGATGTTATTGTTCTGAGATATTCGCTTGCAGGTGTTCACTGTTATTATTTACTACTCAAAACACTGCCATAGAGAGACAATGAAAACTTAAAAGCAAAAAAGAGGTATTTGGCTTCCATCAGAAGCAGCTTACACTGCAGCCATCAGAAGAGAGCCTCATCTTAAGTTGGGGACTACCTATAAAGTAAAATGTTACATTTACCATGCCTAACAAAAGCTTGGAATTAGCTGATAGTGACATAACTGAATCATGACAAAATAGATCAGAATGACCAGCTCAAATACATTTCACAGAGAAATATCTGTTTTCAGCACTGAAAAACCAAACTCACTGCCATTGACTCAAATGCGACTCATAGCGACCCCTCTTTGGGTTTCCAAGGCAGTGTCACTACGGAAGTAGGTTGCCCAACCTTCCTTCCAAGGAGTGGCTGGTGGGTTCGAACTGCCAGCCTTCTGATTAGCAGTCAAGTGCCTTACGCCACCAGAGTGCAGTACGCCACCAGAGCTCCCATTCCCAGCATTACTCATGTATTAAAAAACCAAACCGGTTGCTGTTGAGTTGATCTGCCTCCCGGAGACCCCATGTGTGTCAGAGTAAACGTGTGCCCCGTAGGCTTCTCGGGGCTGTGACTTTTCAGAAGTAGGTCATCAGGCCTTTCTCATGAGGTGCCTTGGGGAGGATCTGAACCACCAGCCTTTCAGCTGGTAGCCAAACACTTCACAGTTTGACACTTTGTTTTGACTCTGTCAAAGTGTCACTGTTTTACTAGGGAAGTGCCATGTGTTCTTTAGAAAAAGAAATGAATTTGTAAATAGAAGACTAGTTTAAAAATCTGTCTTTGCTGTTTACTAACACAAAACCTTGACAAGTTGCTTAGCCTGTCTAACCCCCGTGAGTTCTCTAGTACACAGGTAAAGTAATACTACATGACATCCTGACAGGGTTATTTTGAAGATTAAGTTGGATCATGGATATGAACGTGCTCAATGAATTCTGAAACATACCATTATTGATACACAATGCTTTTGAACCATATTGTAACCAACCCTTGTTTTGCTGAGATGTTTTAATTTATCTTTCCAGGATGATATCCCAGTATTCCCTACAGCCTTCTTCAGGGAGAAAGATTCACTCTGCGTAAGATCATCTTCACCTCTTCCTCTTGCTTAGTGGGAATCAAGACTTAAGACTCACACGAACCATTATTAAATAAGTCAGGACTGAACACTAGCCTTGCTTACAGCCAGCTTTGGGGTATCAGTTACTTAATACCTGGCCTCTCTGGAAATGATTGGCAATTATGTCATTTTTATCCCCAGTAGAAAGTTGTCCCTGTGATAATAATGCCAGGGTTTTTTTTGTTTGTTTGTTTTTTAATAATTGGTACCCCTGGGTCATACCAACAGTTAAGCACTTGGCTGCTAACTAAAATTGTGATGTTGCAAACCCAGAGCCACCTTGGAGGTCAGGCCCGGTGACCTGCTGCCAGAAGACCACAGCCCTGGAAACCCTGGGGGGGGGGGCGCAGTTCTGCTCTGCACCCCAGGGCTTGCCATGAGTTGGCGTGACCCAGCAACTGGATTGGTTGTGGTTTTATCCTTCCTCATTTTTACAAGTAAAAATAATGTAGTAATAAAGAATTTGAGAGAACTACAGACGTTAGGTCAGAATACTCTTCCGGGAGATGTCTGACCTCACCAGATCTCTGCAGATGGTATACTTCTAAGTTTTAATGTTTTACTTAGGTTGATGTGTTTTTTTTTGTTTTTGTTTTTGTTTTGTTTTTTTCCCCAGAGAAAAATCATCTAATTTATAGAGTTCTGCTTTATCTCCGAACTTGCTCTTAAATATTAGAGCCTGGGAATCAGTTTGAAAGTGTAACTTTTTAGATAATGATGTTTTAATCTTCTGTTATTTCTTTCCCTTCTATTTGCTTTTTCAATAATTGAGTAGTTGCTATTAACATTTTCTACAACGTCACCAATTTCAGATAATTCTAGCAGACTTACAGTAGTGTCTGTGGTAGTTAAGTTTGTGTGTCAACTTGGCTGGGCCTGGTTGAGTGGCTGGGCAGCTGGATGTAGTTGTTCCCCATAAGAAGACTGGTAATCAACTTCATGATGGAATCTACTGTGAGCAGCTGAGTAGCTGCCATAGGGAAGTGGTCTGCTTCCAGTATATGAGATGCTTTGATGAGAAAGGTCTTGAGATGTTTGGCACATCTGGATCCTGTATTTGGCTGAGTCTTCATCTCAGTGGCCTGCCATGTTGTCTGTCAGTCTTGAGACTTACTGGATTGAACTAGTGGCCTGCATGTTGCTTGATAATTTGGGGACTGTACCATTTTACCTGTTGACCTTGGGTTTGTCAGCTTCAGCAGCTGCCTGAGTTAAAAGATGCCTCCAGCTCCAGTGGGCTGGGAACAAGAGGCAGAGCTGAAGCCCAAGGGCCCAAGGTCGAGGTGCTTTCACCCAGCTCTCTAGGGTGAGCTGGCACTTTGAACCCAGACTTCTAGCTTCCTGAACTTGTGAGAGAATAAATCCCTATTTGTTGAAGTCATCTGCCTGTGGTATTTTTGTTAGAGCAGCACTGGAGAACCAAAATAGTGTCCTAATTTTCTTGTAATTGCTACTAAAATATGATTATCTCGTAGATACTGTAATACACAAATGTTTTCAAGTAATTTAAAATTACCACTATGTTTATGTCTTTTCCTATTAGAACTTTTTTCTTCCTCTCCAAACATTTTGTGAAGAAAAAAACAACGAAAAAACTCCCCTCAATAAATTTCCGAGCCTTACAACAAGATGCCGTCCTGGGAACAGGACAGGATTTCCCAGTTGAAAGTGAAGACTGTCCTCTCCCTTCCGCCCGTATGTGCCGTGCAGCGGGGCTTGGGCCGCTGCGTGCTGGCCCTGGGGAAACTAAAACACTGCTCAGGACCATTTGCTCCAAACGGGTCACACGGAATTGCCCTCGTGACCTTTGCTCCTTTTGTTTGCTTTTTTTTTTTTTTTTTTTAACTGCTTATTAATGAAGCAAACACCTGTAAAATTCTACTCTGCTAGGTATTATTTTCTTTTTTAAATTTTTATCCTTGCATTATTTGAGAAGGTAGACATGTTGGTTTTATAAAATTCCTCTTAATAGTATAAGGAGATAGAAGTCCATCTGTACAGTAAGGATAGCTATTTCTAATTGAATACTTATGTTTCTTGTAGTTTTCAGATATGAACGCTTGATGCTTTATTTTGCTTTCACAGTGAAGAAGAGCTTTTGTACCTGAGTTTCATTGAAGATATAACAGATGAAATTTTGAAACTTGGTTTATTCTCGAACAGGTTAGATTTTTAAAATTGTTCTTGGTAGTGAAGAGTGTGCGGAGTAGTCTTAGTATGGTGTTAATTTTCTAGTTATCTCCACGGATTAGGACATGAACATTTATCTTGCTTTTGGGGAGACCATATTCTCATAATGAAGAGCAAAGCATAATGAATGCTTATTTCTATTCTAAGGCAAGTTCACAGGTTAGGGGAGTTATAGAATGTAGTAGAGGTTTATTCATTTAATACTGTTATGTCTGTTGGTCATACCAGACTAGTAAAATAAACTTTTACTTCTTATTTGCATAAAACCTAGGTTTGCACACCGTCAATGAAATGGAAAGTTTGCAAAGCCAGGTCGGGTATTTCATATCTTTAGGGAACTGTGTGATCCTGTATCTGGCTTGAACATTCATGTGTCTAAAATTCATTGGGCACTTCATGTAACAAACACACATAACACATCAATTTATATAACACATACGGCATAGGACCGTATTATGTACACTGTATGCTTTCTCTAACATGTGCTGAGTGCAGACATGGCTGATGGATTCTTTCTATCCCCTGTGTCATTTTTGTTTTAATTACAGCAGACATTTTCATTATTTGGATAAAAAGATATGAAAAAGAGTAATGTTCTTGTCTGATTCTGTGTATTTCTTCCATTTTAAAAAGTCAGTTTAAAATGTTTTCATCAAAAAAATCATACATGCTTATGCTAAAAATTTTCAAACTTTTCTCTTAGTATTATAAAACTCTTAATTGCAGCATTTTTTGTAGTAGCAAAAAAAAAAAAAAAAAAGCAGTCATTAGTCTGAATGTTACATGTAAAGGACTGGTTGAGTAAATGTGCTATGCCCATAAGAGTGAGTGATACTTAACCTATTAAAAATGAACCTGTAGAAGTGAATTTATTGATCTAGTAAGAGATTCACAATATATTGTTGACTAGAAGAACAAAATAGGTAACCAAACAGTAGATGTTGTTTGATCCCCAGTTTTGTTGAAGCAATCAGCATACATAGAAAACTGCCTATGAGTGAATATTCCATAACATTAGCAGTAGTTTTAAAAGGTAGAATAAACATTTCAGGGGCTTTTTAAAAATTTCTAGGTAATTCAATACTACTAAATATAACCTAGGCTCATAGCTTAGTTTATGATTAACAAAGGAAATCAGTTGTTTTGCAAGAAGCCTATTGATAAGTCATGTGATTAAAAAGACAACATGGTATAGTTGAAAGAATGAATTGTCTGAATTCTTTTAGTGGCTTGTGACCATAGGGGGACGTGAGCAAAATAGGTGTTTTCTTTTCATCTTCTCATCTTCAGGGTGGTTTTCCTAATGCTTTCTGTCCCAGCCCTGGACAGGATTAGAGGCAGAATGATGATTGTGTGTGTGGCACAAATGTCCAGCACTTAACGGTACTTAATCAGCGGAGCTGCTGCTTTGTTATGTGGTTGACCATCAGTGGAATTATTTAAGAGTAATTTAGGGAAACATCGTAAAATAAGCATTTGCTTTGTGAGAGGACCTTTTTCAGGTTTGGTTTTGGGATGAGGGCGTGTAAAAGAGGGAGGGAGAGGCTTTTGGTGTCTCTGTGTGTGAAAAAGAAGAGGTTTTTGTTGTAGTTGTGTGGGGTGTGGATGCACATGGGCACACATGACTGAGAATGTTTGTGTCTCATTAAAACTTACAACCTCCTTATGCACCTTGAAGCAAATGTATAATGGAAGACATACTGGCTTCCCAGGTGGGGAACTTGACAGAGCAGGAAAAGATAAGCTTTTAGCTTGAAGAGGACGAGATTAATCTAAAATACATTTTTCAACCTTTCATAGTTTAATTATTGCATAGCTACATTATTTTTAATTGGTTGCCTGATTTTAAGACAGTAACACTTTTATGTATCATTTGTAGGTTTTTAGAACGACTATTTGAGAGACATGTCAAAGAAAACAAACACCGTTTGGAGGAGGTTTGTCTTTCCTTAGTACATCCTTAGAAAAATTCTTATGTAGAAATAATTGTAAAGTTTTCCCTACTCTCAAAAAATGCTTTAAAAGCAAGGGCCTTTTTACTTGCCCCCTTGCTTTTTGTTTGTTTGTTTTTGGTGGGTGAAGAGGAAAAGGAAGAGTATTAATCCTGCTGAGATGAGTAGCACTGCAGACAAGTCATCCGTTTTCCCAGCTTAAGTCATGTAATTGTTCCCTTTTGTTTAATCGTAGGGGAAAATGCGCCACCTGCTCCATGTCCTAAAGGTGAATTTAGGCTTCTTATCCGAGCAAAACTCAGCAAAGCAAAATGATGTCAATATGTTGACTTTATGTGATTTTGAAAAGACTGATAATTCAGAACAAAATGAATTTAAGAATGAACATGAAGTAACAATTCGGCAGGAATGTCGAGATTACCAAAAGGCTTTGGACATGTTACTGCCTGCACAGAAGGATGCGAGTGAAATAGTCCCTTCACCAAATGACTTCTTCTTGCCCATCTCTAAAACAAAAAAGTATTCAGAAGCAGTTATAATCCAACAGAGGAATGAGGAAACAAACCTCGAACCTTCAACGTGGGATGAAAAAGCCCCAAGTGTTTCAGACAGCTTACTAGATCCGGAAACTTGTGTGAATGTTATCGAAGGTGACAGTGACACTGAAAGGGCTGAGACTTCAAACGAATTAGCTTGTCTTAGCCTACACCTCTCCCAGTCTGCTCTGTTCTCCAGGGTCACAGGTGACAATCATGACATGGAAGGGCCAACTCTTAGAATCATGGAAATGAGCATTGATGACTGCCCTTTGAATGTTTGATCTTCATTAATAAATATCTCAAATGGCCAGGAAATGAGTATTCCTTTTCCTTTTTTTTTTTTTTTTTTCCTTTTATATATTAACATTTCTGTGTTAGTTTTCTATGCTGCTGTGTTTGGCTGGGTTTTCTAGAGAAGCAAAACCAGTAAAGCTTGTATATACGTATAGAGAAAGAGAAATTTATTTTAGGATGACTATTTGAGAGACATGTGGCTCACACACTTATAGAGGCTGGCAAGTCCCAAGTTCTTGTATCAAATGTCAAGCTGGAGGCTTTTCCCGACTCACGCAGCTGCAGGGGTTGATGAGCTCAAGGTTGGCAGGCAGTATACCAGCTGTTGACTACAACAAATAACGAATCCAAGATCTCTAGGCCAAATGGTGGATTGTTCACTCATGGACAGTTGTAGGCAGCACAACGGGATCCTGATCCACAGAAGAGTGTCTCTTTTCCCAGGATGTCCATAAATATACTGGAAGCAGGCCAAACCCCTAGGGAAACTCCCTTTCCACCGATTGGCTGCTCAAAACATATACATCTGATCCCATCATGGGAATAACCTACATCACAACTGCTTAAACCACACAGAATTGTGGTCCAGCCAAGTTGACACACAGCTCGAACTATCACAGTCCACCCCTTGTCAACTTGGCAGTTGTACACATCTTCTTAACCAAATATAACCTCTAAATAAAGGCAATCATAAAGTCATATTTGCACCTAAAGTGATATACTGTTGTTGTTGTTGTTGTTAGGTGCCGTCGAGTCGTTTCCGACTCATAATGACCCCATGCAAAGCAGAACAAAACACTGCCCGATCCTGCGCCAGCTCCACGATTCCTGCTATGCTTGAGCCCATCATCGCAGTCACTGTGTCAGTCCATCTCATTGAAAGCCTCTGCCTCTTTCATCGACCCTCCACCCTACCAAACATGACATCCTTCTCCAAGGAATGGCCCCTTCTGACAACATGACCTAAATAGGTGAGACAAAGTCTGGCCATTCTCGCTTCCAAGGAGCATTCCAGCTGCAATTCTTCCAGGACAAATCTGTTAGTTCTTTTAGCAGTCCATGGTACTTTCAGCATTCTTCACCAGCACCACAACTCAAAAGCATCAACTCTTTTTTGGTCTTCCTTATTCATTGTCCAGCTCTCACATGCATATGAGGCAATTGGAAATATCATGGCATATGTGATATGCTAACATGTAAAATCAAAACACATTAACATTATTGACATTTCACACTTCACACTTCATGACAGAAGGAAACAAAAATATTTGCTACACATATACCATAAAGAAATATAACAATCACAGTCCTCATTTCTGCAACTGGTCACGTGGTCATAGCTGATATTCAGAAATACCTTCTTCCACCACCCATTCCATCTTTCCCTTGCCCTCAGCAAGAACCACAGCTGGTTGTGGTTCTTTGCCTGGTGGGGTGACCCAAACCTTCATTCCTGGAGGGTCTGGGCCATTAGTAGTCACATCAGAATTGGGTTGCTGTAATTTTCCATTGACTTTAATCACAGGACATGGTGGTACTAAGAGACATCCTAAAAGAATCTCCTATATTCGAGACATACTCTTCTTTACCTCCATTATGAAATGTCAATCCAGTTTCCCCTTGGTAATCAGGATCTATCACATCAGACAGTACAGTAACGCCCTTCTTTGTCTGTAGATCCAGAGGCATGAGGAAGCCAAAATGGCCGGGTGGCATTCTTAACTTCCAGTTCAATGCACTCAGTATTGTATCTCCAGGTGGGAGTGTTCCTCCCTTTGGGACTAAGATCTGCAGACCCACAGAGCATAAGGTAGCAGGGACAGGAAGCAAAAATTTTTTGAGTGGGTCACTAGGGGTAATAGTGGTACCACTCCCGTTTCCACCCCTTAGTTACTGGAGCCATGAATCCTGGCTATTGGAGAAACAGTACCGTATACTGGACGCTGGTTTAAAGCATAGACAGCCTCCTGGAAAACATTGGCTCAACCCTTCAAGGTATTGCCACCTAGCTGACACCATAATTGTGTTTTTAGTAGGCCATTCCATCGTTCTATCAAGCCAGCTGCTTCTGAATGATGGGGAACATGGTAAGACCAGTGAATTCCATGAGCATAGGCCAATTGCTGCACTTCATTTCCTGTGAAGTGAGTCCCTTGATCCAAAGCAATGCTGTGTGGGATACCATGACAGTGGATAAGGCATTCTGTAAGTCCACAGATGGTAGTTTTGGCACAAGCATTGCGTGCAGGGAAGGCAAATCCATATCCAGAGTAAGTATCTATTCCAGTAGGAACAAAACACTGTCCTTTCCATGATGGAAGTGGTCCAAGGTAATCAACCTGCCACCAGGTTGCTGGCTGATCACCCCGAGGAATGGTTCCATATCACGGACTCAGTGTTGGTCTCTGCTGCTGGCAGATTGGGCACTCAGCAGTGGCGGTAGCCAAATCAGCCTTGGTAAGCGGGAGTCCATATTGCTGAGCCCATGCATAACCTCCATCCCTGCCACCATGGCCACTTTGTTCATGAGCCCATTGAGCAATGACAGGAGTAGCTGGGGAAAAAGGACGGCTGGTTTCCACTGAACGTGTCATCCTATCCACCTGATTGTTAAAGTCCTCCTCTGCCGAGGTCATCTTTTGGTGGCATTCACATGAGACACAAATATCTTTACTTCTTTGGCCCATTCAGAGAGATCTATCCATATACCTCTTCCCCATACATCCTTGTCACCAATCTTCCAATCATGCTCATTCCAAGTGCCAGACCATCCAGCCAAGCCATTGGCTACAGCCCATGAATCTGTATGCAGTCATACATCTGGCCATTTCTTGTTCCATGCAAAATGAACAGCCACATGCACAGCTCAAAGTTCTGCCCATTGGGAGGATTTCCCTTCACCACTGTCCTTTAGGGAAGTCCCAGAAAGGGGCTGCAGTGCCGCTGCTGTCCACTTTCGAGTGGTGCCTGCATATTGTGCCGAACCATCTGTAAACCAGGCACGAGTTTTCTCTTCTTTAGCCAACTGATCATAACTCCCCATGAAGCCGTAGGTTCAGACTGGGTGACGGAAGGTAATGTGACAGGAGTGGAGACCAGAGGCATTTGGGCCACTTCCTCATGCAACTTAACTTGTGCTTTCAGGTCCTGCTCAAACCCAATCTCTGATATACCACTTCCATTTAATGATGGAGTGCTGCTGCTCACGTCCCAAGTTTATGACTCTGTGGGTCAGACAACACCCAATTCATGATGGAAAGCTCAGGCCTCATGGTGACTTGGTGGCCCATGGTTAGGCATTCAGTCTCTACTAAAGCCCAGTAACAAGCCAAAAGCAGTTTCTCAAAAGGAGAGCAGTTATCTGCAGAGGATGGCAGGGCTTTGCTCCAAAACCCCAAGGGGTCTGCGTTGCGATTCACCAATAGGGACCTGCCAGAGGCTCCAAACAGCATCTCTATCTACTACAGCCACTTCAAGCACCATTGGATCAGCCAGATCATATGGCCCAATTCACAGAGCAGCCTGAACCCGTTGCAGAGCCTTCTGTTGTTCTGGGCCCCACTCAAAACTAGCAGCTTTCCAAGTCACTTGATAAATAGGCTGCAGCAACACACCCAAATGAGGGATATGTTGCCTCCAAAATCCAAAGAGGCCCACCAGACATTGTGCCTCCTTTTCACTTGTGGGGAAAGCCACATACAATAACTTATCCTTCACTTTAGTAGGAATATCTCAACATGCCCCACACCATTGGACCCCTAGAAATTTCACTGAGGTGGAAGGTACCTGAATTTTTGTTGGGTTAATTTCCCAACTTCTAGCATGCAGATGTCTCACCAATAAGTCTAGTCATTGATATTCTTCCTTACTAAGTCCAATCAGCATATTGTCATCAATATAATGGATTAGTGTGATGTCTTATAGAAGGGAAAGGCAATCAAGATCCCTATGGACTAAATTATGACATAGTGCCAGGGAGTTGATAGACCTCTGAGGAAGCACTGTGAAAATATATTGTTGGCCTTGCCAGCTGAAGGCAAAGCTGCTGATCTTTTGAAATTGGTATTGGGAAAATGGCATTGGCCAGATCAATAGCTGCATACAAAGTACCATTGCTGAAGCAATGAAACCACATCAGGAACAACAGCTGCAATTGGAGTTACCACCTGATTAAGTTTACAATAATCTACTGTCATTCTCCAAGATCCATCTGTTTTTTGCACAGGCCAGATAGGCAAATTAAATGGGGATGTGGTGGGAATCACCACCCCTGCATCCTTCAAGTCCTTGATGGTGGCAGTAATCTCTGCAACCCCTCCAGGGATACGGTATTGCTTTTGGTTTACTATTTTTGTAGGTAGAGGCAGTGCTAATGGTTTCCACTTGGCTTTTCCTACCATAATAGCCCTCAATGCCATCACCCAAAGCCTCACTTCTCAAAAGTATTCGATCTATTGTTAGTACTATTTTGTATATTAATGTTGCCACCTCACACCACGGATTAGCAGGGCCCTCTTTACTAATGGAGACACAGTCACCAGTGCCTTTACGATTAATCAAATTGGAGAACCAATTTAGGAAGCCCATCATTATTTTGTCTCTCTAGAACCACTCCCAGTACCAAATGTGTTAGGCTAGGTTCTCTAGAGAAGCAAAAACAGTAAAGCTTATATATACATAAAGAGAAAGAGAAATTTATCTTAGGAAAATGGCTCACACACCTATAGGGGCTAGCAAGTCCCAAGTTCTTGGATCAAATGTCAAGCTGGAGGCTTTTCCTGACTCACACAACTGCAGGGGCTGAGGAGCTCAAGGTTGGCAGGCAGTATACTAGCTGTTGACTCCAACAAATGACGAATCCAAGATCTCTAGGCCGAATGGTGGATTGTTCGCTCATGGACAGTTGTAGGCCACACAACAGGATCCTGATCCACAGAAGAGTGTCTCTTTTCCCATAAATATACTGGAAGAAGGCCACACCCCTAGG